GCTCCATGAGTTGGTTGTTTTTTGTTTTCAGCGGATTGTTGTAGGAGAACGTTGCTGGCTGAAGCACATAATTCAAAGAGCAAACAACTTCATCATCAACATCTAAACACACACACTGAATGAGTTGTGCACATTATTAATGTAGCGAAGGATACCTAATCAAAAGGAAATCCAAGTACATATAGAGAAGCTAAAACGCCTAGGACTATGACTGCGTATGAATCTCGGTTTCCTTGACAGAAGCAGATGACGCGATGGAGACTACGGTGGTGGAGTTGCACAGGCAGATAAAGTAGTATGTGATAGATTTGCAGACAAAAGTTAGATGCATATGCATGACTAACAAATCTCACTAACATCTGAGAGTTCCAATATATATAAACACAGCAGAGACCTATAATACCCCGTAAAATCAACAGACTTGAATCAATAGGCCGTGCCAGTTCATAAGGCAATCGACATAGCAATAAGAGCAGACAAATGGATTACTGTTATGGAGAAACAACAGAGATTACCGAAAGCACAAGTCATCGATGCAGTTTGAAAGAACTATACAACTGAAATCCCTTCTCTTAAGCTGCTCAGCTTCATTATCGATTACCTTGAAATCAAAGTATAATTTGACCGCCCGAGCAAGAACAGAACTACATTACTTTGATCCAAAGGACAGTACCTCACATGGATATAAGTAACAAGAAAAGATACAATTACAAAAGATGTATTCAACAGCACTAGTGGCGTTAAATCTAGGGGAGAAACCTAGTCGTGTGGCGACACATATATTGGGCTAAAAGCTCAATTCGGATATCCCAGACCATTTGGAGTGATAGAACAATATATATATATATATATATATATATATATATATATATATATATATATATACACACACATACATACATATATATATATATGTATGTATGTCAATCTCTGAAAGCCAAACACAAACTAAATCATCAAATTAGTTTTGGCATTAATTTGCAAATACGCACCGCACCATCCACATCTTTACATTTGAAGCACGCAAGGATGCAAGATCAAAAGAATAACGAAGTGCTTTTTCATACTACATCAGTATACACTAAAAACAATAATGGGCTAAAGAAGACGCTTCTGAATCAGAGTGGGGAGGAGAACCATACTAACCTGACGTCGCTTACTCAGGACTCCGCAGGAGATCAAGGTCCAGGTCAGTTCTATAATTTTATCAGCTGGTCGAATCCCTTGAACAAAAAGGATGTCACTTATACATCAACTACAGTAATGCTAATACTCCTCTTTTCACACATGCAAAAAGACACAACGGTACACGCATGTATTGCTCATTACAAGCAAAGTCATACACAGAATCATACTAAAGGAAGGTGGACTGCCAGAGTTACAAAAAGTTCACATTGTAAGCATGGTCTCTCGGAGTACTTATTTCTTTAGACTTGAAGAATAAAGGACAGCAAGAACAAAACTAACTTCTTCTGACACAAACCTAGGTCAGATACACCCGGCCAAAAGGAGCTTTAAGTGGAAGGTAGAAGTCACAATACCTATCAAAACGCTTGATTTCACACTCATATTGCCAAAACGTTATTGAGAGATAAAGAAAATTATTCAATTTAAACACAATAGTTACATAAAAATTTAGAGTTGGGAATTCATGGTCCTTATTGACTTGATTTCAAGCTCAATAGATCAGTCAATAACCATACCTAATTGAACAAAGTACAAATCAGAGTGCATTAAACAAATTTCTAACCTTTACAATTCCCACGACACTGCAGACATTCATACGTACAGAGCAGAGAGCAGTTTCTTCAAGGTAAAGCGTTATCCATCGAGAATGTATTGATCATCTTGATTTTCTCCAGTCAACCCTAGCATCATCATGAACCAAAATGTTCACATGGTGCAAGTTCTGCATCATTTGTGATAAATAATGGTTACTAGCACTTGTATGATCAGACTGTCCAGCTGGATGAGCAGGCCACTGAGAGACAATCCCAAGTAACTGGCCTGTAAGGTTTTGTTGCTCAGTGAAGAATACGAGTCTGCATCTGGCCCATCTCTGCCCGGTGGTGAGCCAACATTTCGTCAATCCTCGTCTTCCATTCTGTTCTCCTCCTATTCATCCTCTCCTCCCATTCCCTCTCATGAATCAACTCGTCCTCTTTTCTTCTTCTTTCTCTCTCTTCACTCTCCTTCTCCAATGCTTCCCATTCTAGAATCCTCTGCTTCTTTAACTTCTCTCTTGTCTTCTCTTGCGTCTCCTTTTTATTTGCCCATTCCTCCCATTTCCTGCTCTCGTTCTTGCTCACACTCCATTCTAAAATTCTCACTCCTCCGTCTGTCCCGCTCTCTCTCTGCCTCGCGATGCTCAAACCGTGCCTCCATTTTCTTCAACTTGCCCAGTTGGTTACCTAGAAAGGCCCATGCCTTCTTCTTTCCCAACCCCGTCGACACGTCCCTCTTCTTCTTCCTCTTCTTTAAATTATGACCATTCTGATCAACTTCTTCGTACACAAACTTGTCCTCTCCATCCTGCCTCAACCGACCATTACGATTAAAATTCACCTCTCCCTCCTCCCGGTCAAACTCAAATCCCAAACCCATCACTACATTCTCAACCCCATCAATCCCCGCTCCAAAATCCCCATCTGAATGCCCCAATTGCCCAAAGTCCACAAGCCCCATTCCCCTCCCAACCCATTCTCACCATCCCCATTCACAGACACCATCAAATCATTACCACTATTACTCACAATCTCCACATCCCCAAAAACCTCCTTATACCTCAAAAAATTCGACCAATGCGCGAGGCCCTCCATCCAATCAAACTCCTCCTCACTACACTCCCCACTCCCACCACCACTACTACCACCACCACCAGGTCCGCCACCACCCCCACCGGCCCCGAATTACACTCGGGTTGCTGCTTCTTAATCTTCTGCTTGACAAGCAAATACTGGTGCCTCATGTTCTGGACCTTGGTGGAAACATCCTTCCAAGACCACTGCCAACGATACGCAATCGGGTCTCGAACATGGTGCACAGAATTCACATAGCAGGCAATGGGTTTAAACTTTTTCTCTCTGGTTTTCATCTTAGCAAGGGTCCCATCAGAGACCATCTCTCCATATCTGTCGATCAGAGTTCTCTCCTCGGACTCTGTCCACTTCTTTCTTCTCGAGGGCATCATTTTTGAGCCCAAGAACCAATCTTTACTGTGCAAAAACAACCTCAAATCCTAGAGGCTAATGCCTAACAGATAAAATCTGACACACCCAGATCGAGAAAACATGAGAATTGAGAAGCAAAGTAGAGAGAATGGAGTGAGAGCTTACCTTGGGATGGAGATTGAGAACCCGTGGTGGGGATTTTCTCGGGAAAATTGGCAGAGAAAGTGAGGGGGAGTTGTGGGAGAGTGATCTGTCGGGATTCCTGTAGTTTTCTGAATCTTTTGACTCAGATGGTTAGGAGGAGGACCAACAGTTTTAACTGCGCACTAGAAAAATTCGGTGTCGAACTACCGGAGTAGATAAACTAGATACAAGGGGAAGCAGATTTGGTATGTCCGAAATTGTTTATGTTTTTATTTTTTATTTTATTTTATTTTATTTTCTTTCAAGTTATTTATTTATTTATTGATCTAAAAGAAATGGCTTATTACGAATTCGCCCCTAAAACTTATTTGTTTACCCACTTTGGTCCATATTTCAAAGGGAAATGACTTCTTGATAATGGCTGGCCATAGTTTGGGTACGTTTTAGGTCAAAACAACGGGATTTAGATTCTCTCCGGATCCCTTCACTGGGGATCCCGGAAATCAATGCATAGTAACCGTTTATCAAAAATCGTGTAGCCATAATTTTTATTTATTTATATTTTTTTAAGCAAAATGATGTTGTTTTATTTTTAAAAATATAAAAAAAACATTTAATTGTGGCCGTACGATCTTTGATGAACGGTTACTATGCATTGATTCCCGGGATCACCAGTGAGGGGATCCGAAGAGAATCTAAATCCCAAACAACGAACCAAATTGTACGCTTTTGTTGCCCCAATTTAAAACCATGGACAAATCAGAAATGGTTAAATTAAGGCTATGTCGAGGTAATATTAGAAAAATTATGTAACCTATTCATTTATAAAAATATTGATCTTCAAACGGTTAAAATACTTTATCTCATAACTCAACTTCAATTGTTGGAGACGCCGCCGTCAAAATCTAGCAAGACTTCCGTTCACCATCAATTATTCTACCATTTTCTACTTATTGGGTTTAAATAGGAGCTCCCTAAATTTAATGTGAATAAAAGGGCGCAAATGTGTTTGAATGGTAAGTTGGGTGAAACGACTCATTGACTTGATGGACAAAAACTCTAATCTAAAAACTATAATTATGAATTCTCATTAATTTACTAAATCTAACTTAGATATCGGTCACTTAGTATACGATCTAGTGGTATTCCATTTTACTTGTAAGAGAAATGTTTTAGTTTCGATTTTCGCCGAAGGCGAATTCGAACCACATGATTGCTAACCCATTGTGAGACTATGTCCATCTCCTTCCCCTTTAGGTGTAGATAATATGGTTAAGCCTAGAAATTATAATTATGAATAGGGGTGTGAACTTCTCACACATCTTTTTAATTTTCAATCGTCGAATCAGATGAATGGAAGAAGATCAACAGATAGAAATTATTAAGAGGTGTGTGAGAAGTAAAATAGAATGTGTGGATAACACACCACTTATGAATTCTCATTAATTTTTCTAAATCTAACTTCGATATTTGCAAAACTTTAGACTCCCACTAAATCCTCGTGACAATTCACTTTTAAAGGCAAGGCAAGACTTCTTACTTGCCTGAGTTGCCTCTAGCCATTCATTTTTTAACAATTCACTTTTGAAGTATGCCAATCCTTTTCTCTGGGTGCTTTTAGCAAAAGCACAAGTTCAGCTAAAGCAAGAACATATGGATGGTGAGTAAGAAGCACTTTTCTTCATTAAAAGAATTTATAAATTTCATCATTTCCTGTAATTTAATTTCATCAGTAACAAATTCCCCCAAACTGCTGTAAATCTTATTTAACCATACAAGAAAACCTGTTCAAGAAAAAGGAAAAACAAATGGAAAGAAAATATATGGAAACTCAAGCATTGGGGAGTCCCTACAAACAACAAACTGCATCCTGATGCTGTACCAGTGCATAAACTTCACCATCTGCAGCGCGGCTGTCAGGAATTCGAGGATGAATCTACGTGGCTCGGACTTTTGAATCCGGAGGGCTCCTTGGGTGGATCATTTCCCATGTCCTTTGTTTTGTGAAGGAGAAATGTACCGGATAATATAGTGATGAAACCACACAGTTCAGTCACTATCTGTGATCCATTTTGTGACTCCCAGTCCTGCAATCGAAGGGAGGGTAAAAACCGGATTGTGAATAAAACTGAGTATTTAGCATCTGTAGAAAATGATTCTCATCGATGCCAGAAGAGCGAGACAAATCTAAGCACTACAAACATTTTGACAGTAAATGTACCTTAAACAAGATCACACTGGCAAGAATGGTGAATATTGTGAACATAACGTAGTAGACTGGAGATATAACGGCAGTGTTAAACGTGTCAAGAGCCTGCAAAAATTGCATAGACAATATGGACTAAGCATTCGCGGGATAACAAGATTTAGAGTCAGTAAATTGCACGGTATCTAACACTAAATAACTGATTTTTCAGGACCCCAACTGTGTGTGTTTCTATACAGCATCTGAAACTTTCTTACGAGTTTGGCCTTCGCTTCTCAATTTTTAGCAACTTATCGAGTTTGACAAGGTTCAAAAGTTTGATGATCTTGTAATCTTTAAACTGTCCAGACACTAAATCAAGTTAATCAACAACTTTGATTCTCTAACTTTGTAGATAACGGAAACTACAACGGTGACCAGGAAAATAGACTTAAACATAAACAGAATGAATGCGGTTTCTTGGGAACTATATACCTTGTTTAAGTAGTTGATCTGAAAAAGACAGCATACTGTCACTACCAACACAAAAATCCAAGTCTCGAAGTATTTGAATTGATTTGTTCCGGAAAACGTCAGCTTCAGAGCTATTCCCACTGCTTTCACACTCATAACCTTTAGATGAATCAGAGGTAATAGAAGGATTACTTTATGGTACACCTAAATTCATAACATCAACGAGCTTCAAAATTTAGAAACAGACCGTAAGAGATCCCATGAGTGAACAGATACCAACGTAGACGATCATGTGGGTTTGCCCGTAGCGTGGCACATACCGGACAATGAGGACAGCAACCAGAATCAATACTATACATGTGTAGATGATGAAACCTGTGAATAACGAAATTAGTTGTACTAACTCTGTCTCGGATGTTCATAAACTAAGAGAGTAAGGTAAATCTGCAAATACCTGGCTGCGTAGCATGATGCCACACTTGCTTAACGGAATATATTGGTTTCTCTTGTGGAGCATGCAATACAATGCTTACAGAACCCACCACGCAAAGAACACAACCAAGCACACCAAATATATGCAATTTTTCCTTCAGAACAAAATGAGCAAGCACTGCACTGGAAAAAAAATGTCGTCCTTATAAAATCACTCACACGCAAACACTGCTATTACAACAGCATGTGTGTACACACGCACAAGCCCGTATGTTTAATACATCAACCGGCGGACAAAGGATATAACAAGAATAGACGAGGGCAGTGTCAAGATGTTTCATACCTGACAATAATACTTAAAGCTCCCAAGGGAGTTACGAGAATTGCTGGGGCAAATGCATAAGCCGCAAAGTTGGCTATCTCCCCAACAATCACTGAGAAAGAGAATAAATTCAGCATTAGCAAATGAGCATCAACCACAGTAATTCTCTGATAAACAATTCTAACATAGCATGCAATAATTTGAAAAAAAAATCCCATAAAAAAATTTGAAACAAATTGAAAGTTCAATTTATCTTAACAGGACATCTATAACATTGGATGAAAACACCAATTGGATAATCCCTTCGATTTCATATAGATTTTCCGATCAAAACATAACGTATGGATGGAAAACTTGAGGCTGTTAATGAAACCGCAACATCAACCCCTTGTTTCAAATAATATTTGCATATTTCCCCTGGAGAAACAAAGTCAATGATGTCACTGTTCCGTTCTCTCACACTCATACCTTCAACCTAAATAAAAGTTATATCCGAGTACAGATAATTAAATCATGTAGAATATCCAGAGCGTGTCAGTTGAGTATCATGTAAAATGGTGTGATCAAAAGCACTCCTAACCCCCGACCCAAAGCCACCTTTTCTACAGTTCTAGTAGACAAAGCAAAAACCAGAAAGAATCAAGAAGAAAATGCTTTCAGATCGGATCAAAGTGAAGGTCATTGTTTAACCATTTTGCGCACAACTTTCTGTCCATGACCATCATGACTATCTGCATTTCCGACCTCAGTGCAAAGCTCAGAAATAAGCTTCTTCGGTATATCCACACAAAGTGAATCAGAGCAAAGCTCGGAAATGAACTTCTTCGGTTTAACCACACAAAGTGAAGGAAGATCTCGTTCTTTTCGGCTGTCTCTTTTTAAGGTTTGGACATATAAATTACTAGTTCTAATTACAATTTGGAAGTCTTCCCGAAATGACATCAGCTATTTCTATCCATGTAAAGAGTTTAATTTGTGCTTTCAGTAATTTTAGGTCTATAAAAACCCATAATCTCAAATTTTTGAAGTTTGATATCGATGGTTGGCCAACAATCATCCAAAGTTCAGTGTCCTGACAAACGAATGCCTCCTATCGGTCTGCCAGACTATAATACTTGTACAGCAAAGGAATCCAATATACTTTCTTCTAGAGGTTCTTATTTTTTTTTTGAAGAACTGATGCCGACAGAGTTTAAGGAGACTAGGAGACTCATCACTATCCAAATCCATGCTCAAATTTGGTACCGAATGTTGACTTATCAAACGAAGGCGAGTGGTCTATGGCCTTCTCCGGCCTTGGAAAAGCAGCATACTATAGAAGCTAGGGCATTGTTCGCCTTTGGATATGAACACTATTTCATTCTTAGTGAAAACCCACCATAGAGATTGAATGTTGATTTATCTTACTCCACTACAAATAAGTCGACGTTCAGATACTCTACCTTGGCTATGCAGCCAACATATTACAGGTTGCACAGCCATACCGCTATATGGTGTAGCAAAGCACAGCAACAAACAATATAAAAGATTCCAAATAAGTAAATGATGGCAGACGCGGCCTTTCCTTGCGAGGAGAAAAACAAATTCATCAGACAAAAAATGGGCGGAGAGAGACAAAAGAAGGGCTGAATTTATAAACACATCCAACAAGAATGAAGAATCCAGAAAAAAAAAACCAAAAAAAAACTTAAAGAATGCGACAATGCTAACAAACAAAGCAATTAGAACAAGAGATGATTAAACTTACTTGCTGTCATCCCAGCCCACCACAAGGGTTCATACAAGTACGTATACCCTCCTAATCCTGAATCCGAAAATCCACAAATTCACTTAACAAAACATCGACGAAAACAATACAATTCAATAAAAGTTACATAAAACACAAAATTGTAGGCAAATTTCCAAAGATATTTGAGGATTCACGCAACAGAAAAGGGAATGAAACCTGCTCTGGTGCCAGTAGCGCCGGCCTTTTTAAGACCTTTCTTCTTGATGATAAAACTAGCGCCAATGAAAATGCTTGAAGAAACCGCGAGAGTGAGTCCATGAACATTGTCACGCGATATCCCCATTGATCACACCAAATATGGAGGAAAACTTTGCAGGGCCAAGAAATATTATATCCAAAAATCCAAATTAATTTCCTGAATCCATAAAACCAGGCCAAGCAGATCACACAAATAACACAATCAATCCCAGAATAAATACATGCATTTAAATAAATAAAAATAGAAAATGATCATAAATATAAACAGCTTACCTTCTTGGCACGCTGCAAAAGAAGGCAATGGGAGTTAAAAACCCACCACCACCATGATGTCTGTAATTTTATGGGGCTTTTTTTTTAACATGCGACGTGAGAAAGTGATTGAATCGATGAATATGGTAAATGGGGTTTCTGTGAAGGGAGGGAGGGAGGGAGGGAGGGAGGGGGAGAGAGAGAGAGAGAGAGAGGAGGGGTTTGGTGGTTTCTTGCGAGGCTGGCTGAGGCAACGGTATGTCCGTTACGTTGGCGTACGAGAAACGAATGGCCTCCGCATCCCGCGTTCCTCTTTAAATGCCATATGCCTTTGTGAATTGTGATGTGTTATTTTAGTGTAGTTTCGAGGTTAGATCCTAAGAGAAAAATTTCGATCAGAATACGACTGCTATATCACGTGTTTTAATAGACGTGGTGAAAAGTTTTATTTTTTAAGTTATTAATTTTTTAACATATATATTTCATCATTTGTATAGTGACACGTGATATACCTCTTTGTGTACCAGTCACATTACAAAATTTCTCAAATTCTAGTTGGTATTCTACGAGAAATCTTTTAGCGTCCTGAAACTATACCAAGTGTTATAATACTAATAGTTAATATTTTTTTTTAAATTTAATAATTGATGTATCACTCATGGTATTTTTTTTATTTCTCCTTTTCTATTTATTTTTTGTTAAATAAGAATGTTGCTTATTTATTTTTACGGGTAGACCAAAAAAATGCACAACTCATGGTATTTAAAATTTTTTTTATTTCTCCTTTTTTTATTTATTTTTTGTTAAATAGGAATTTTATTTATCATTTTAACTAAAATGGTCATTAATATTGACATAATTCAATAAAAGACCCTCAATTTGTCACCGTCAATGATTTGGACTTTCCGTGAAAAATTTTTATTTATAAGAATTAAAATAATAAAATTACTCTTAATTTAATAAATAAGATCAAAATAACTTGACAAAACTTGAAAATATAATTTTATTTTGATATTATTTAACAAAGATTTTTTACAAATTATTTAAAATAATGATGAAAAAAATTAACAACTAATTATATAGATTTTTAATTTCAAAAAACAAAATAAAAAGATACTTAAAAATCATTTGATTAATTTTTCTTTTCGTTGAGCGAATAAAAAACGAAATTAGGAATTAAAAAATTGAGAGGGTAGGAGTATATTTTGAGTTGCCCTTGTGTCCAAAAGATCCCATCTTATCGCGAACCCAAATCTTACGCCGTCCGCAACAGAGAGAATAGGTACGCTCCTTCCTCCCATCCATCATCGGACGGATTCTACGCGTTTGGCTGCTGAGAAAGTCCGATTTAACTTTCCCAGAAAATTGGGTTGGAAGAAAACAAAAAGCCTCCTTGTTATTATCTAATATCGGTATTGTCATTGCTTTTTAAAGATTTCTTTTTTCTTCTCGTCATATTCGTCTCGGCATCAATCAGGTCATTATATGTATTTGCTTCATCTGTTTTGGTATTTTTGTTTAATTTTAGGGTTTCGAAGAATAGTGCGAATGGAGGTTTTGGCTGATTGATCTTATTAGGGTTTTGAACTTGTTTAATTGAAGGACGGTATTGGCGTTTAGGGTTTCTGTGAGGTTTGGTAATTGGGGGAGGTAGGGCATTGATGGCTGATCGAAATCTTGCACTTGTTAAGCCAATATGGATGAAGCAAGCCGAAGAGGCGAGGAGCAAGAGTGAGGCTGAGAAAGCCGCAGCGGCGAAAGCTGCTTTTGAAGCCACATTCAAAGATGTGGATAAGAATCGAGAGAAAGAAGTGGTGGCTGGATCAGATAGTGAATCTGAAGAAGCTGAGGACTTGGCGAACAAGCCCATCGGGCCGGTGGACCCGGCAAAGTGCACTGCAGCCGGGGCTGGGATCGCGGGTGGTACAGCATGTGCACCGTCTTCGTTTATGGTAGTGACTAAAGACCCTGATGGAAGGAAGGTTCCAAATGGTGGGGTGCAGATTAAGGTGAAAGTTGTGCCTGGAGTGGGAGTTGGAGGATCAGAGCAAGAAGGGATGGTGAAGGATATGGGTGATGGGACGTACACAGTTACTTATGTGGTGCCAAAACGAGGGAATTATATGGTGAGTGTGGAGTGCAGTGGTAAACCCATCATGGGTAGCCCATTCCCAGTGTTCTTCAGTGCAGGTATTTATAATTTATCGTGCTTTTATGTGTTGGTGTCAATGCATTTAGTCCAGAGTTCATAAATTTATTGCAGGTTTATTGTTTAGTTAGTGAGTCGTGCTCTTAGCCAATATTGTTTCTGTAATGATGTCAATGCTGCAAGTAGCTTGTGGTCTATATGAAATCCTTTGCAGCTCTTAAAACTGCTTCTGAGATGCACCGAAGACATAAGAGAAAAACAAAACCATTATTTCTAGACAAGAAAGTGACTGATAGGGGAGTTTAGGGTTTTTAAGGAAATAGTTTTATCTTATATTCTTTTGCAAGACGCAGTATTAAAGCCTATTCAGTATGCATCTTGGATTATTCACAAGTTACTGGTTATCTCTCAGACACATAATTTTGAGGATTTGCTTTGTTCTCATGCAGGTTCTAGTGCTGGAGGACTGCTGGGATTGGCTCCGCCATCCACATTTCCTAATCTAGTTAACCAAACCATGCCTAACATGCCAAATTATTCAGCTTCTGTTTCAGGGGCATTCCCTGGACTGTTGGGAATGATTCCAGGCATTGTTCCTGGTGCTTCAGGAGGGGCTATATTGCCAGGAATTGGAGCATCTCTTGGGGAGGTTTGTAGAGACTACCTTAGTGGTAGGTGCGCCAAAATTGATTGTAAGCTGAACCACCCGCCTCACAATCTGCTAATGACTGCGTTAGCTGCAACCACCTCTATGGGAAATGTTAGCCAAGTGCCTATGGCACCTTCTGCAGCTGCAATGGCTGCTGCTCAGGCAATTGTTGCTGCCCAGGCTCTTCAAGCCCATGCTGCTCAGGTGCAAGCACAAGCTCAGTCAAACAAAGACTCTTCTGGTATACCTCTCTGATTTAAACGTGGTGATGAATATAATGTGGCTTAGAAGCTGCTAGTTTCTCACATGTATTTTGGCTTTTGGTAGTCTTATTTGAATGTGTTTTCTCATGTTTTTGAGTTGTGTTGTTTTCATTACAATTGCTACATATATATATAGTTAAATATATATACAAATCTATATGTCTATCTATAACATTTTACCATCTATTAATTAGGTTCACTTGACAAAGCTGGAAAGGCTGATGTGCTCAAGAAGACGCTTCAAGTTAGCAATCTTAGCCCACTTCTCACTGTGGAACAGCTGAAAGAACTTTTTAGCTATTGTGGCACGGTTGTAGAATGTACCATCACTGACTCAAAGCATTTTGCATATATAGAATACTCAAAACCTGAAGAAGCAACTGCTGCTTTGCAATTGAATAGTATGGATGTTGGAGGCCGTCCTATGAATGTTGAGATGGCAAAATCACTTCCTCAGCAACCAGCTGCTATGAATTCCTCAATGGCTTCATCATCTCTTCCCATGGTGATGCAGCAAGCTGTTGCTATGCAACAGATGCAATTCCAGCAGGCTTTGCTTATGCAACAAACTATGACCGCCCAACAGGCAGCCAACCGAGCTGCAACCATGAAGACAGCAACAGAGTTAGCTGCAGCCAGAGCAGCAGAAATAAGTAAGAAATTTAAAGCTGATGGAGTAGAAATTGAAGAGAAGGAAACAAAAGAGAAATCTAGGTATGTTACATTGATTACAAATTGTCATTGTCGGCTGCCTTTGGATGTCTTATTCCAAAATGGTGAACTTAAACATTGAAAATACTTTGGTATATAGATTATGAAGAATCACGTGATGCTCAAATATTGTTACGCTTATAAATTGTTGAAATCCTCTGTTCTGGATATCTGAGGCTTTAGATTTTGTTGTCACAAATTTTATACAGGAAATAGTGTTCAACCTGTATGATTTTAGGGTTAGGGGAATTACCAGTCTTAATAAAAATTCCGATCCAATCCAGTTGAGTCCCAACTTAATGTACAAAATGGGGTCTCGGTTACTGTTGTTAGGTAGGTTAATGCTCAATCGTATTGGTGCTACTCCTGAGAATATTCTCCACCTCATATGTTTAAGCAATTAGTAACTAACGATGAGTCTGTCATTAACAGATTATAACATGAAAGCGGTATTCAGAGGTTCAGAGGCATGAGTTTTGGAGATTTATTTTATTTTATTTATTTATTTATTATTTTTTTTTTTATATGTTGCAATGGTTTCCTGTATTTATAAATCTTATTTATTTTTTGTATGCAAAAGTTATAACACACTGTTGAGAAGTGCACATGTGATCATGAATAATGTCTGTTTTCATAATAGGAAACCATATAATTCTAATTGTTTATTTGAAGCAACGAAGTTTTCTTTATTTGATAGAAATTGTTTTAATTGAAAACTGTTTTGCCTTGTTTATAATCAAAGTATTTTCTTTTTGCTAATCAATTACTCCTATTACAGGTCTCCATCACCATCTCGTGCAAGGTCAAAATCCAGATCCAGATCACCTATAAATTATCGCCGAAGGCAGAAGTCTCCTTCTTACTCTCCTCCATATCGCTATCCAAGAGATCGTAGATCCAGATCCCCTTTGAGATCACGCCACTATTCAAGCTATGATAATGAACGCAGGCTATATAGAGACATTAGGAATGGTGGTGACAGAACTAGAAGGCGGGATTCAGATAGATCACATGATCATCATTTTTCTACGTCAAGGAGAAATAGGAGTAGGAGTGTTAGTCCTAGAACAAGAAAAACACGAGTTGATTCGGTGTCACCCAAACATCGACGAGAAAGTTCTCCACGTAGAACTCGAGCTGCGTCTAGATCACCTGGTCATCATACAGGAAGTAAGTCTTCTCCAAGAAAACGCTCAAGGTCAAAGTCTTCAGAAGGAAAACATCACTTAAGCGACAAAAAAGATGACACCCACTATGAAAAAGAAAAACATGGAGAAAGAAGGCGATCAAGGTCAGTGTCTACAGAAGGTAAGGGACATAGAAGACGGTTATCACCAAGAAGTCCGGATGAAAAAAAATCCAGACAGAGAAGGCGGTCTAGGTCAAAATCTGTGGAAGTCAAGTACCGCTCTAATGAGAAACCAGACGAAACAAGAGATGAAAAATTAAAACGTCGTAGTAGAAGGCGGTCCAGGTCAAAATCTTTGGAAGATAAGCGCCACTCTGATGAGAAAACAAATGAAATAGAAGAAAAATCAAAGTATCGTGATAGAAGACGTTCTAGGTCAAAATCTGTGGAAGGGAAGCATCACTTGAAGGAGTTGGGCGAAGGTAGAGATAAAAGATCAAAGCATTGTGATAGAAGGCGGTCCCGGTCAGTATCTGTGGAGCCTAAGCACGACAGAAGACGTGGGTCATCCCCTAGAAGCTTGGATGACAATAAAGTGAAACACAGAAGGCTGTCAAGGTCAAAGTCTGCTGAAGGGAAGCATCGCTCCAATGATAGGGCATATAAAAGTAGAGATGAGAAAGAAAAGAGTCATAGGAGAAGACGGTCCAGGTCTACATCTGTAGAACCTAAGCGTCGTAGAGGAAGTATGTTATCCCCAAGAAGTACGGATGGAAAGAAACCAAAACACAGAAGAAGGCGCTCTAGGTCAGAATCTTCTGAAGGCAAGCATCCAGCTAGTTGTGGAAGGGATGAGAATGGTGGTGACAAATCAGAGTATCATGAAGATGGCAATGAGAAACCAAGTTCTGTGGTGAAACATTCAACAAAGAAAATTGATGATGGGGTGGTTATTTCAGCGGAAGAGGACTTGGACTCGAAGGAATCAATGCTAAATATGGGAACTGAAGATATTCCTCATACGAAAAAACATGGTTTTGTACAAGATCTTGACAGTGAACGAACTTCTAGAGTCTCGTTAAATGTGGTGGAAAGCAAAGTGGAAGTGTCTTTCACTGAGAATCTAGCTCTTGGAACATCTGGTAATTAACAAGGTGATAAATACTTTTTCTTCAGTGTTGATTACTAGAATAGCTGAATATTCTACTTTTGTGGCTTACAGGACTGGAAAATCAAAATGGTTGTGAAAAGTTAACTGATGCGGATGATGTTTGCAGAACTGACTCCGGAAAGGATTACATCACAGTGAAGGCTCAGAAGAGAAGCTCCCTGATACCTAATGCAGATAACGCAGATATGTTTTCTGATGACACCATTGCAGAAGAGGAGAACTTGTGAAAATATGAAACCAGACCCTGGGCTGTTAGGATTCAAGAGTTTCTGCCGGGGGAGATGCTGACAAGTGCTGCAGTCGCTGCACTGATAATAACTTGGTTTAATTTGAGGGACTAACTGAGAAACTTGAAAATTCTGGGGAATGTTCTGTTGCTTCTCATTGGAAGGGCGATTTACTTGGAAGCTTGCTTAGCGTTTCTATTGTTGTATGGTCTTCATAAGTATACTCTATTTTTTTTTTTTTTTTTTTTTCTTTTAATCTTATTGCAGGTTCTTTGGGTCTCTGAGCTGATCTGGATATGGTTTAAATATTTCAAGGAGTGTTCTGATATCATCCACATCCAACATTCCAGTGTTTGTAGTGAGCTTCTTTTACTGATTGATGTATGTTGGACCGTTAACTCTATTATTACATTATGAATTACTCGACTGTTTATCTTTAAGAAATATTGCTACTTTCATGTTGTTTTGCTGTAGTAATTTTGTGCTTAATTGCTTTTTTGGGATGAAGATACGAATAATTGGTCTGTATAAAAGGCTGATCTATGCTTTAGGTCTGTTAGCAATTCCTTTCCTCAGAGTCAGCTTGTGTCTATAAATGTATCCTGTTGATAGCATTTATGTAAATAACTGAAGTCTTTATTCTTTGCGTTTCTTTGATCTAGTTGGTCACGGGTCCATCTTTTATTTATGTTTGATGGTATGGTGGGCCTGTTATATCTCGAACACGTGCAGGTTACGGTGATTTTGATTGGAGCTTTCTGAGATTCAGTTTGGCAGGGTTGATTTTCTCTGGATATGAAGGTATGCCGCCATAGACATTGATAGTTTTTGCATGGAGAGCTTATGCTGTTAAAGCTTCTGTCCAAGTGTTGAAAGTTTATGGGAGGACCCTAGTAACTTTCGCAAATGTTATAAATTGGTTCTTACTGTTTCCCCTCCATCTTTCTTTCTTGTGTTTTTTTTTTTCCCTTTATTTTTTCCCTCTTTCCCTAGAAATTGGCTTGGTTGGGTAAATGCTACTTCTAAGGTCGAGTGAAATCAGATGTTGCTGGGATGAGTTGCACCAAAATTCCACAACAGGTAATGCAGAAACTTTCTAGGTTGAGTTCCATTTCTTGATATGACATCTGATTATACGTTCAGTTATAGTTGTATCAGTGGTACTGGAATTGTTCCTATGAAAGTAATCATACAAATGCTGGCGTTGTGCCGTTTGTTAGTTGGGTTGACCAGTGGAAGTTTTCTGTTTGATTGACCCTTATCGTTCTTGGTAGTTGCTTAGTTACCGGAGGACTGGCTACCAACTTTTTGTTTGCATACATATTCGCTGCATGTAGAAGTGGTATTTGATGTTGTTTAGTGTGATTTCTGAAACCCCATTCTATTTTCTTCGTTGCCCTCATTTTCTCTGGTCTTTTCCCCCAATTTCTTTATTTTATTTAGGGTGAGCTGTGGATGGTTAAGCACTGCTGCCTAGGCCTCAACTTGGGAATCGATTATGCTTGACTACAAATTTGGTATGTAGGATTCGATTGGAATGGACGACGAATTTGAAGGATTGGAATGGACAACCAATTTCTTCTCTCCTCGTACATCTTCCCCTCACCCTTTCTTTTGCTCTCCACTTTGTTCTCGTTTGGTATGTAGGATTGGATTGGACTGGACGGCTAATTTGAAGGTATATTGGAGGTAGACGAGAGTGATGTTTCATTTGGATGGGAGAGTGATGTTTCATTTGGATGGGATTTGAAGTGGATTATGCATCAAGAAAATCCTCCCTTCTAGTCCTACCATTTTTGGAGAGCATATTGGAATGGATAAGTTTCCTTCATGAGTAATCCATCGGCTGCCCTCTAGTTGGTTATAATGTTTTCATTTCTTCCTTCAACATATCTTGGAATTAGAGAGTTATCCATTCCATTCCAATCCAATCTTACCAAACGAGGATTTTTTTTTTTCCGTTTAGATTTGTTTTCAAGAAAATTTGTAGTTAAACCTTCGTCACTTAATGCAAGAGAGCTTTTGCCGTAGTGACGGAGAAATTCTGAGTTGTGGCTGCCATACGCGGCAGCAGACTTCAAGGCTGTAAAGGACCCCTGCATGTTTGTTCCCACTCGACGCCACCTCCTTGTGAGCCTTAAACAAGGAATTAGAGAGTCGAGAGTCTGGCGGTGGTCTTGTTGGCGTTGAGCTGGAAATTCATTTTCATACTTGATGCTGATTTCGGCATCTAAATTTCAAATTGAATGTCGTTTGGTCTCTATTTTTATGACATTGTTGCCATCCATTGATGATGGATGGTATTAGTTTGAAATTTGACACAATATGATAACAATAATGGTTATTGTAGAGAAAAACAAATCTATAAGAATTTTGGAACACTTCTTCCTCATGGTCAAGGATTCGGTACTTCGTGAATTGCAAATTACAAATTAACACATATGGAAGTGAAATTTAACCTGTAAATAACAAATTGACATATACATTTCAAAATGGGAACTATTATTGGCAGCAGGAAATTAGTTGTGCCCTCTTTGTAGGGATTTGTAAAGTCCTCCCACATAATTTTGTACTGCTCATAGACAATGCTTGGATACTAAAAGATGAGTAGGAATGTTTACTCAAAATTTTTCAAAATTGTTCGTTGTCAATTTATAAAAATTCGTATTTATAATCAGAGCCGTTCATATTATAAATCACCATATAAAGATTGTCTATGCAAAAAATCAATTAAAACTAAGATCGTTTAGTCATCAAACTATTTAAAAACAAATGAATGGTATTGGTAAAATCATTACGAACCGTCTCTGTATTTGCTACAATAGATTGACTAAACGACCTTAGTTTTAATTTATTTTTTGCAAAGATGATCTTTACAGTATGATTCATAGTATGAGCGATTATGATCATAAGCATAAAGCTTTGTGATTAAAACACTAAGAGTTTTGAGTAGCCAAGTATTGTTCTTTTTCAAATCCCCTCTATATTATATTTTGGGTTTCATCGTTCACCAGTTTTTGTCAGGTATTGTTTATATTCAATTTTAAATAAAAAAATTAATAATAATTTCTGACCTCATAATATACGATGAACAAATGTGAATAGATGATTCTCAAAATCCTCACTAAAGGAATCCAGCAAGATCCTCCTGGCAATTCCCCTAGCGGCAAAATAAATAGGTAGCGGTTGTCATCATAGTGTAAATGCTGTCGGTGCCAACTGTGCCTGCCAATCTGCCCACCGGCGTTTTATCCGTCAGTGGCAGAGTTCAGTTTGCAAATCTGTACGTCTCTTCTTCAGCGACGAAACTGCGGCCGAATAAAACCTAGCAAAACAGTGGCTGCCTCGTGCTAACGAAAGAAACCGTAACAGAATGTAAGCAGTGCTGGTGTTATTGCTCGAGTCCTTTTGTGGCAGTTTTCCATCGTCGGCATAACAAATTTTGTGAATGGTGTCACTCGAGTCTAACAAATTGGATACAATCCCCTGTGCTAATGAGTAAGCGGGATAAACAACCTCTCCGTTAACAAGTATGAGATAAACAACCCCTTATGTGAATGGTGTCACTTGAGTCTTAACAATTTATCTATCCTCGGCGTAACAATTTTTCAGAGCATGTTTACTTATATGATATGGGTACGAGAAGAAATGTGTATGGGATAAACAACCTCTTGTATTAATGAGATTTTTTTATTTATTCCGATATGTAATATTAACACATGAGACTCACCTATTTTTTCATTCCACTTACTGTTAATAAACACATGAATAGAAATAATACTCATTTTTTTTAGAAATTCATTCTTCGCAAGTAAATGTGTCCTTAAAAATGAAAACTCAATGCTAAATTTAAAAAACTAAATTTCTATTTTTATTTAAAAAATTTAAAAATAATTAGAAAACAAGATTTAACAGTCACCAAACAATAATTATATCTTTAAGTATCTGTTTCATGTTTCTTGTCTTTTATTTTTAGTGTTTTTTTTTTTTTTCCAATCGATGGGGCTTCACATTCCTATAAATTTGTTGACCCAGCTTTTATTTTATTTTTTATTTATATTTAATTTCTTTTACACAAAGTAACCCAAAGAAGGAGAGAAAGATTTAATTATGCCCTTGGATTGGACGTAGTTGAAGCCCTTTGGTTCTCTTCTACTTTCTACAAGTGGAGCTTTAAGAGCATTTTCAAGAGAAGTTTTAAATTTTTGTCAAATTAGCAGGTGAATAGTATAAAAAAGCTATATTAGCCACTTAGTTTAAATTTTCATTTACAATAACATTCTCTATTTTATTAAACTTGAAATATTTTATTATTAACAATTCAGACACAACTCACTCATTTTGGAAAGCAATCTTCTCTCTCTTTATTTTCTTCTTGCTCAAATAAAGCATTCCGACTCCATATTATTTTCTTCATTTTTGTTGTGAGCTACAGTTATAGAAAAAGGAAGAATTGCAGGATAAATCTTAACTGATCAAGGAAAAAGGATCTGGAAAAGAGCTTTCTCTAAAACTTTTGGATTGTCAAATGAGATATGGAAAAAGGAAAAATTGCTGGAGAGAAGGGGAGGATGAGTCTTACTTTCCCAGATGTCCTTAGCCGACCTTAATTTCCTTCTCTTCTAATTAATCGTCTGAATAAAATATTAGACCAGCAGCAACAGATGACATGTCTTCTAATGTGCTCTTTTACTCCCCTTTTCTGTGTGTTTGTTGAACTTAGGGTTTAGTGGTTTCCGCCACCCCCAACAAACATAAACAGCAAAACCCACCCCCCCAAAAAACATAAACAGCAAACAGAAAAAATTATATGCTTAGCCTTTGACAAACTCAAGGGTTAACCCAAGTTGTTTAACAAAAATCGTACGAGTCACGCTATATGGAGTATGATTCTCTCCCATTTTCTTTTTATCCATTTTTCTCACATTCTCTTATTTTATATTTATCTTACTATAAAAAATTAATATAAGATGTTGACGTGATTTAATCGTAACCTTTGAAATAAGAGATGAGGGAGGAGAGGGAAAAAAAGAGAGAAGATAATCCTACTCAATTTATATTTGGTTTGACAGTTGTACAAGTTTCATAAGTAGTTCATCTACCAGAGCTTAGTGTATACAAGTTTAGCAAAAATAAAAAGCCATCATTGTTAAAAGAGAGATTATTTTCACACATCCCAAATTACTTCTTTCACAGCTTTTTAATTTTTTTAATATTTTTCTATCAAGTGTAAGTGGTGTGTAGAAAATATTAAAAAAGTAAAAATATGTGAAAGAAGTAATTTAAGATGTGTGAACATAATCTCTTTTGTCAAAATTATTAGTCCTGATAAGCATGGATGCCAAACAAGATATTTTACTTTATTTATAGTACTTTTTTATGAAATTTATTTCTGCAGTTGTGTACTTGTTGGGTTAAATATATCTATATCGTGGGCGATGTGTGACCTTTTAAAATAGTTGCATTAATCCTTCCACCCTTCATTAAAATCTACTAAATCAGCCAAATCAGAACTTTAATTTATCTTAATATTCACGCTTGCCCTTTTTATTTATGTAATAGCCATTGTGACAGAAAATCTATTATTTATATAAAAACAACTAAATCAGCCAAATCAAAAACTCTAATTAGTCTTAATTAATATTCATGCTTGCCCTTTTTATTTATGTAATAGCCACTGTGACAGAAAATCTATTATTTATAGTTTCCTTACAACTTAAAGGCAATAAGAAGTAGATGTTTTATTATAAAATTAATTGGTAATATGAGAAGTAGTTCAACTTCTTATAAACCCTTGCAAGTTAAACATGTGGACAACACAAATTGGATGATGTGAAGCACATGTGGCCGTTTGGCTTCACACGTGGTCAACCTACTATGATACCATGAAGAAGGTGACGTTTCACCATAAAATCAATTGACAATGTGGTCAGTAGTCTAACCTTTATAAGCCCTTGCAAGGTTTCTCGTTTCACTAATGTGAAACTCTTTTACTTTCACAGACTATACGAATAATTTTACTTCATGATTTTTTGGTCTAAAATCATAGGCATTAGGGGTGGGCATAAAAACCGCCAAACCGCAAAACCGCATCGAACCATAAGAAAAAAAACCGAAAAAGACCGTGTTGACCGAAAAAGTCAACTTTGAGTGAAAAACCGAACCGAACCGTTCAAACCGGTTTCGGTTCCGATTTCGAATGACCAAGAACCAGCCGAACCGAACCGAACCGTTTTATTAATAATAAATAAATAAATTATATATACACACATGTCATGGTATAATAGGTTGAAAAATTGTATACAGAAGCTGCTGCTTCTTGCTTGCTCTCTGAAGTCTGAAAACCTGCAATTTGCTTCATCATTTTTTTGTTTGTTGATTGATTGACCAGTGCATATGTATTTTAGTAGTCTCTTTTTGTTGACTTGGTGCCACTACCAAAGACATTTGCATTAAAAAAAATGTGTTGTATGCAACTTTATGTAATCAGTTTTAGAAGATGTATTTGAATGCATAATGATTTGGTGTTCAAATAATTTATTATTAGGAACCGTAAACCGGGCAAGAACCGAATCGGAACCGGTGTAGACCGAACCGTAATGTTCTAGTAATAAATTTAAGTGGAACCGCACTGAATCGAACCGTTAATATATTTCGGTTTCGGTTCCAATTTAGGGATGGAACCGCACTGAACCGTACCGTGTCCACCCCTAATAGGTATTGTCTTTAATTTAACCATCTATTAAGTGATGCTGTGGTTTAATAATAAAATACTTTGTGGTACATTCGTTCATGGTTTGACATCAAATTCTTTTAGCGACAACAAATAGATGTAGCTTGTTACCATAGCTTAGGTGTCTTGTATGTAAATGCTGTCGGTGCCAACTGTGCTTGCCTGTCTGCCTGGGCACCTGGGGTTATCCGTCAGTGACCGAGGGGTCGAACTTCAGTTTGCAAATCTGTCTTGCTCTTCTTCAGCGACGAAAACTTGACCTGACAATACCAATTCGAGAGAAAATGGAAACTAAAAAGAAAGAGGAAAAGAGTGGCTGCCTATGAAACAAATTGTAACAGAAAGTAAGCACTGCTGTTGTTATTGCTAGAATTTTGTTGCAATTTGCCATCGTCGGCATGACACAATTTGTTAATGGTGTCACTCCAGTCTAACAAATTGGTTTGTTTATAATTTTTCATCAGTCCTTCGTGTTGCATCTTTTTTAAAGGTATTTTGGACGTTTGAACTATAATGAGTATAAACATGAGTATGAGAAGAAATGAGTATATGAGATAAACAATCCTCTATGTTAACAAGATATCTTTTGTTTTTCAGGTATGTAATATCCAAAACTTGAGACTCGTCTACTTTTTTATTCTTTTGGTTGTTGGCAAGGT